ATATTAAATACAAAAACTAAATTTTCGGCTGCATGCCACAGCCTTCTTCAGAGTGCCTATAGCTTTACACAGAACATACTTATATACAATAAATTATGAATAAATTACTATTGTTGGGCGAAATCATGACTACCATTAAGGCCTTTCCGGTTGGTCAACAACATTCCTATCCAAAAGTTTTCACTCTTAAGTACTTCACTATGGTGTTGATCAATAAGCATAAATTTTAAGCTCGAATGATCCGCCTCATGCACATCAATAAAATGATTAGTTATACTGCATGTCCGGCGCTTATGCTTAATGTGTGATTTGTAGTTAGCTAGTCTGGACTTAAAATTGGCCGTAGAGCCAACACCTTGCAAACCACAAAGCACACACTCAGCAAGATACACTACATTACTGGAAGTGCACGTCAAAGATTTTAAAATAAGAAATATCCTTCCAGTGGCAGCTGCACGAAAGGAATTGCCAAAAATCAAAAAGTTCTTACAACTATCACAGCGCTTGGCATCACATTTGTAGCAGCCTTCACCTTCCAGTTTATTAGGCTTATATGGGTTAGATGGTGCTAATAACTCCTTCAAAGGAATCTCGCGTTCCTCAGGATCGCAGGCTCGGGGAACAAGATTGATGTCTCATCAGCGTACATACAACATCAAAATTAACAAAGAATAGACTTTAATTAACCGCGCTTTGTAAGTTAATTTGAGATTATATAGCACTTCATAAATACCAAAAATGAAAATAGCCGGTCAGAATTAGTATAAGTACAAAACATTTTGATACTCCATTTTAGAAACTGTGCCGGCTCATTGTTCTTCCCAAGCAATATACAATCACAATAATTTTAATGAATTTATTCTGTAAAAGGCATAGCCGAATTGACTCGACTCATCGCAAAATCAGCAAGTCGAGTCCAGTCATTTGGGGCTCTGCTGACTCGAGTCGAGTCGACTCGCTGAAAATAGCGACTCGGTGACTCGACTCGTTACAACACTGCGCTTAACACTTTTAAAAGATCAAAACCATACTATAAAGAAAAGCTCTCGTTTAATAGAGAAAGAAACTCGAGATATAAAGCCGTCCACAAAGATTAAAGATGTTAAAGAAAATAAGACCAGCAGAAAATGACAAATAGAATTATCATCAAAATGGTTTTACAATTCAAAAGTCTTTGTCTTCCACTCGTATTTTTCCGGCACTCTTCGCTTCTCGAAGAACAGCACTATTCGGAACTCTGTTCCTAGACTAGTATGTGAACTAAACATCGCAGCAGAGGGGAGGTCAACAGCTAAAGTGAATACGTTTAAGAATGTCACTGTCGTGCATAAAACAGGCAGATATCTCACCATTGGCGACAAACAGGGAAGAATATTCAAACAGCGAAAGAATATTTTTGTGATAGAATTACTGTAGTTCTCGAACTCGTCAAGTGTGTTACATAACACGTGCTCTAAACTAATGAGTATCTGCCACTATGACAATATCAAAAATGTTTACTAATTTTTTATCGGCAAATAAATTTAGTACTTTATCTGAGAAATAATTCTAAAATAAAGAGATTTTAGATGGTACGCCAATGAGTTTACTAATTATTTAAAGTATATAATCTAGAAAGTGAAACTAAAGCAAAGTAATTTTGATTTTTGAGAGGTACGGGAAAAATTAAGGACTGCTTACTTTCCATCGTAAATACGTGACAGGGCGAAAATTGCCTCATAATGATCGATTAGCAAAATACAAAACCGCTTTCAGCTCGATTGAATAATAACGTTAACTTTGAATTAAGAACATTTGGTAGTTAAAATTTAGTTTGCCTTTCATGTGAAAGATCTTTAAAGTGGCAGTCATATCTGTTCTGCTCACGCGCGTGTTTTGTTTTGTTTTGTTTTGTTTTTGTTTTGTTTTGTTTTGTTTTGTTTTGTTTTGTTTTGTTTTGTTTTGTTTTGTTTTGTTTTGTTACGTCCGATCGCTGAGCCTGGTGATCCATATGTGATTGATCCCTGTGATGCCCCGTATTACATCGAGAAAACCCCCAATGCACCACAATCAATTTTGGACCGAGTTACAGCGGCACAGCTTACAACATCTAGTCAATGATGATCCCTTGACCGAGAAGTACGTGGGAGGCACTGTCTTCCAACCTTTCTTGATACTGCCAACTATATCATCGCTCGCATTCACCAGTTGATGATAAAATAACGAAGGCATACAACAAGGAGGGTGAGTACTGTGCAGAAGCTCTCTCGATAGGTTTTGACCCAACAGCTAATACATATTCACAAGCTTTCGTTGCTAGGGATGCAACGGTACCCGGACATTTTGCCGAAAGACATTTTGCCGAACGGAGATTTTGCCGACGGTCATTTTGCCGAACGGACGTTTTGCCGAACGGACATTTTGCCAAACGGACCGAAAGGACAACTTGCCGAAAATAAAGATGTTATTTCGTCAAAATGTTTGGGACTGTGACTCATTTCTCAACTCTGTAATTCTCAACCATTGTGTAAAATAACCATTATATCGTTATCAGCAGTGCATTATGGGTCATTAGCAGTGATTATATCGAGCAGATCGGTAGCGAGCAGATCAATTATTTGCCGATGGCAGAGGTTCAATAATTGTTATACTAGGGTACCTGCAATACTAGGGTACCTGCAAGGTAGGGATTGCTGCGGGCATTAAAAGCAAATAGAACTACAGTAAAAAGCACAAATTATATCAAGCACAGTGATTACTCGCAGCGTCTAGTGAGCTGTGAATGGAACTGAGAAGAAGCAATATACATTGAAATAGCAAGTGTCATGCAAGTGTCAAGAGTCATGCAAGCAAAGACCAGGGGTTAAAGGGCAATCAGAGGTGACATATATTAAACATGTGCGTCTCATTGACATACAGGAAATTAAGGATCAGATTTCATATCAAGTCTGTTTAATGCTAGGCGCATCTACCACATTATATAGACTATATACACAGATTTATCACACTAAGAAACCAAAACTTGATAAAAATATAGAACTGATAGTGGCCAAAGTCCAAAACAAATGTAAGTGTAAG